TGTTTACGATTCACCGGGTGTGTTTAACTGTTAAACTCTGCACACACCACTGAACACGGACTTACAATACTGTGAGTGGGTTTTGCTTTCGAACATTTCTACCCTGAATTTTCTGGGTTATAGTTTTAAAATTTTTCATTAATACACAACAAAATTGCCACTTTTCTTAAGTATTAAGAATAAAATTAAAATATGTGAAAGCGCAAGGATGTGTCAATCCAACGCGTCCAGAAATTTGAAGTTTTAATAACGTCGAGATGAAATAATGTTTTTATTATATTTTAGTATGAAATGCTATAGCAACATATAAGTCATGAAATTATACAGAAGATTTGAGAAAATATTAACTTCAAATCTGTGTCCATTAAGTTCTCATTATTGAAATTTATGAAATTATGATATACAAAACTTTTACCAGAAATATTTTCTCAGCGAAATTTATTCTTTCATTTAAAAAATAATGTAGTATTCCTGGGGTTCGAGCCCGAACAATAAAAATCCTGACTATCATTTTCTTTCGAAACTTAGCACGCTAACCACTAGACTACACAAGTCCTGATGAATAGGGACATTTAAATCATATTTGTGATATGATCCTTGACTTAATGGATTTCAAGTATTTCTCGAAAAGATGTGTATGTTATGCCATAAAAGTATATTTTTGCTCCATATTTTTGGTAACAAAAAAATGTATATTTTTTTGCGAACTTAGAGGATTAACTTACTAATAAATTAAATGAAGCGAAGACCCGCTCATATCAAAAAATAGAGTTATAGGATGAGAAAATGACTCTTTTTGCTCTCTTTAGTGTGTGTATAATATTTCATAAGCATATACTTTCAATCTTTGTGAGATTTTTGCAAATGGTAGAGATTTTACATAAAGTATATTTTAATGTTAGATGAAATATCAAGGAAAATTTTGATATAATTGAGATTTAATTTTTCACCTTTGTGTTTGTCACACTATGGCTTTTCGCTCGATCGTCATGTTCACCCATCTTCTTTGACGTCCATACTAAATCTGTTTTACCCACAGGCCCTTAGATCGCTTTAAAAAAAAAATAAGGCGCTAAAAAAATTCTTTATACACCCCATTTTTTTTTAAAGTCGATCCAAAAAGGCTGTGGTTTTACCTATCCATAATTGCTTTTTGACCGCAAGTGCAAATTAATGCGCAATTGAACGTAAATATATATTTATATCAATGCACTTAAAATATTTTTTATACGAATGTACAAGACCAGAACATGTGTCATATTATATCAGATGACAAACCATATTTATTTTACAATATTTCTCCGCCATATTAGAACTGAGAGAGCTATGGTACACGTGACTTGCTGTATATAATGAGAAAACCAAAGCATTATATTCTTGACGTTACAATAAAATGTGCTACGTGGTTGTAAATAAAAAAATATATATATATAAATCATGAGCTCCATTTTTAATTATTTGGAAGCAGAGTGAATTTTTTACCCTTCGGAAAACGAAAAGTGTAAGTTCAGTTGATTAATCATGTGGAATTAAATATTTTACATTTTCAATGTATGTGCTGATACTAATTTACAATTTTCTTGAACATAACAGAGACTGATACTGTCCCAGAAATTTTTAAGACGGCTCTCATATACAATGTCACCTTGATTTTAGCTCTACTGGTCAGAGACCAGGCTCCGGGGCCATAAAACTTAGACGAGCTCACTTAATTTTGATCTCAGTCTCACTTTTACCGAAGGAATTAATAGTAGAAAAGTGAGACTGAGATCAAAAGTGAGTTCATATAAGTTTTATGGCCCCGGAGCCAGGAGAGCTTATAGTAAAGTGTCCGTCCGTCTGTAAATTTTTTTTTTTCAAAATGCTACTTTTCCCACAATTTTGGTCTGATTTCAGTATAAATTGGCACACAAGTAGACTACACGAAACTACATGATTCTATTTAGCGATTTCTGATTTCGATGAACAGGGTTGCCATGGATACTAAAAATAGAGAAATTTTTGTGAAATACTTTGAAAATGCTACTCCTCCTACATTTGATTTGATTTCAACATAACATGGCACACATGTAGACTACTCCAAGATTTATAATTCTCGATCATAATCGGTTTTTGATTTCGATGAAATGGCTTATGGCCATGGTTACTAAATATAAAAAGTTTTGTGAAATACTTTTAAAACGCTATTCCTCCTACAGTTTTGGTCTGATTTCTATATAACTTGACACAAAAGTATATGCAGTCAATATAACTTGGCATGCAAGTAGACTACACTGATATACAGTATTGTCTTTATCATTTTATAATTTGATGAATGACGTGCCTTGCATGGTAACTAATGCCACTAAAAGAGAGTAAACCAAAGATCAATATTCTATATTCAATGCATTTGCAATGCAAGTCCAAGTGCTACGTTTCCTTCGTTATAAGTACAAACCAGTGGAGCTACAATCTCGAGCTCGTCAGATACTTCTGTTTTTTTTTTTTTGTTTTTTTTTTTTGTTTGTTTTGTTTTTTCATTCTTTGGAAAATGAAACTGATTTAATTAATTCAAGTACAGAACAAGAGGGAAACCGAAATTAAAGAAAAAAGGGAATGTCAGACTGTGTTGAACCTTGCCAGACCTAGAAACATACATTGTTTTATACACAGGGAAATTGGGATACTTAGCTAGTATATTTGATGATTATTTTGAATCCAAGGCCAGAACCACTATACATGTAACAGTGAAACCAGAAACCAGAATTTTAAAACTGCTGTCGTGTTTATTTTGTAAAAATTTCATTTCTTAACACATGAAATTATGATTGAAATTTAGGTTACGATCGGAATGCTAAACATATCACAAATCAAGCTGAATCTTTGGACAAATCAGTAGCAGACCTGCCTACCCTTTTATTGCAAGGGTGTAATTTTAATACTCAGTTTAGTGGAATTTCAGATGTAAAGGCGTAATCATTCATGCTTCCCTAGTTTGATGTTTTACAATGATACTATGTACTGTAATTGTACAACATTGAACAAAGCAAGTATGACCCCTAATGAACGTTTCTTTTTCAAATCATTTATCGATACAAAGCCTATGTGTAATAGAAAACCTTTATCATATATCAAACTTACTTCAACCTTACACACTTAAAGAAGCATTTGATCAATTTGCATCAAATCATATAAGAACTACGCACGCTAACTCTCGATTCCCGCCTACATTTTACACCCATTTAATTCAATACTAATGGCAATTTGGCCGTAAAATCTTTGTTGAATGCAAAGAACAGTTCAATTGTAATTTACTGATAATTTTAATTCCAGTGTTAAATAGTTAATTACCCCTAATTCCAGCTCTTTAAATAAGGGGGGTAGACGATATTTTTCATTGAAATCGGGCTTTAAAGCATCTCCACATTTTAAAATATTCTTGGATATGACTAAATGTTCCTTAAATCTTTTCTATGTTTTACTCATATAAAATTAAACATATATTATTAATAAAATACAATGTTTTAGCTGTAAACCCCTTTGAAATTGGTGAAAAAATAAGCATTTTTGTAGGTTTTTGTCTGTAAACATATGTTCCCCCCCCCCCCCCCCGTGAAACACAAAAAGCTTTGGTATGAATTTGTGAAATGACAGTCCATATTTCCCGTAAAAAGGAATATTTGTTTCACGGGGGGGGGGGATGTTTTAAAAATATTTTCCGTTTTCCGTTGATTTCTATAGTGAAAAGCACAAGTTTTATCAAAATTATAGAATTATCTCTCTTTGTTTTCCCAAAGAAGTAATGTTTTATGAAAATTCATATAAATATCTATATAGATATGAAAAATCATTCAAATGTGTTAACTTTTGAAAATTGACTTGGAGGTAGGCGGGAGAACAATACTATCGTTCGCAGTTCTTAAAGAGTTTCATTTGCATGTTAACGCAAATCGTATTATGTTTTTTTTAACCATTCACTTGTCTCTATGTTGTTCGAAGCAATATGAGAATAAACTAAGTTGAAAATTGAACTGGCTGTACTTATTGCACAAATCATTTTATAGTTAACGTAAGTTGTACCTTCTCGTCTTCTTTTTTCGAATCTTCTGCATGCCGCCCGTTAAACAGCCATGCAACTACAAGGTATAATACGTACGTTATCTATATCGTTAAAAATTATATCGTGAAGAACCGAAGTCCTCTATTAATTTCTTTTCAGAAGGTCGTACTTTAACTCCAAAGTTAGCCGTTCATAAAAACGTTTTTAAACCATGCAAAATGTCAAAAGCGTAAAACTTACTTAATTGGCGTAATAGCATAATTTTGTGGTAAAAAGCGGAAGAATTACGCCAAAAGCGGAAGGGTAGGCAGGTCTGCAGTAGTATTAATTACCAGAAACATATATATGAAAATAAATATATGTCAAAACATATAACGATGTTCATAGAATTTAGCAGGGAGTATTCATTTTTTTTCTTTCTTTAAAACTAGGGGGGGGGGCTACCTTACTGAAAACATAAACAAGCAAGCAAAAAAAAAAAAAAAAAAAAAAAAAAAAAAAAAAAAAAAAAAAGAAGAAGGAGGGGGAGGGGGCAAACAGCCTTTCAGTGAACATTTACAATAGTAAAAGTTTTTGTTTGGAAAAAGAAAAGTGGGGGACAGCATTCTTTTTACTTGTATGTTTCAGTCGAAAACCAGCTTATAAAGACAAATTAAAGTACGTGTTATATGTAGTTCAATTAGAAAACAAAATTTGGAAAAGTGTGTGTCGATCCCAGATTAAAAAAAAAATGAAAGGGTGGGCAGCGTGGTGTGTGTGTGTGTGTGTGTGTGGGCGGGGGGGGGGGGGGGGTGAGGGGGAGTTCCATCCCTCAAGTGAGTACCTGTGATACAAGCAGATGGATAATTCCATCGGTATCGAAATACAATATAAATGAAATCGAAAGTAAAAGCTGATCCATTACCGAGAAAAAGACAGTCTCAGGCTTCTGTTCTGAATGAGAAAATATTATCATCTGTAAGGTTGTAAAGAAGATGGCCACCTCTTTGACTGACAGCTCATCATTTGAGGACGTCACTGCATGTTCTATATGCTTTGAGAAATTTAAAACACCTCGATATCTACCATGTTCCCATTCCTTTTGTCATGACTGTTTATCGTCACATATTGTAAGTGTGTGTAAGTCTTCGGAACCACGCTTGGGTTTTAATTGTCCATCATGCCGAGAATACATTCCTGTTGTCGGTCCCTTTGATAAGCCAGAGGAATGGTCTGAAACTTTCCCTGTGAACGAAATACTGGAGAAAATTCTTGGAAGCCCAAACCAAAAACTGTGTGATTCTTGCTTGAGAGATAGCGAGGAGGAAGACGCATCTGACTTCTGTTTATCTTGTATAGAATTCTTATGCAAAGTCTGTTCAAGGTGTCACAAAAAGCATTTGTTGTCAAGAAGCCACAATGTCTGCCCTTTGAATGATATAAAATTGCAACACATACAGTCAGCATTTGGAAAAGAAGACATTTGTAAAAAGCATCCAGACCATAAGCTGAATCTATACTGTTTCAAACATGAACAGCCTTGCTGTATTATCTGTGGTGGTACGGAGCATAGACAATGTGATTCTGTTGAGGCTGTCGAAAAAGCTGAAGAAACCTATAGAGCATGTGGAAAAATTGATAGCATGTTAGAAGATATGAGAAGCCTTAGACAGAAACTGATAAATGCAAAGGTCGAACAAGAAAGAAATATTACAGAACTAGAAGACACCTTAGATAAAGTAACAGAAGAGACTGAAAAAGAATTAAACGACATTATACATCTCATTGAAAGATTAAAAACAGAGCATTTAGATGAGTTTTCTGCTGCTGTCAAGAAAGGCAAAGAAATGCTAACCAGAAATGTGGCCATTTTCAGTGATGGGATCCAGTGTGCTGAGTTTTGTTTTGATATCCTTGAAAAAGCCAAGGAAAAACAAAATGAATCAACCTTAATGATAAAATATTATGCAGCAAAGCAGACTTTTGAGCAGTTGCAAACTGTTAGATTTAGGACAAGAGGAACACAGATAATGGCTAAAAGAGAACCTATTTTAGAAGAAATAGCAAAAATGAAGAGAATAGCAAGTGTTGAGGTCACTGAATTGGTTCTTGATATTCCAAATGTTATCTTTGATGTAAGCAGTGTGCAACTAAATCCAATTATTGAATTTAGTATAGATGGAGGGGATGTAAGAGGTGGGACTTTTCTATCAAACAAAACATTTATATTTTCTGATGTAGGGAAAGGTAGAATTTGCTATGGAGATCTGCACAAAAAGGAATGGAAAATTATTAGAAACACTGAAATATTACATAATCCTCATGACATTTTGCTAAAGGGATATGAAATATTTGTCGCTGACTCAAAATCTATTAATGTGTTTTCTGTATTTGATTACAAAAAACTGAGAACCTTAAACCTTGATTTGAAAACGGTTGGGATATCAAACTGGAAAGACGATTTTTACGTGGCCTGTGGGAACAAGATTGTTAAAATTGATAACACTGGTAACAAAATAAAGGAATTTAACACACCAGGCTCACATACTTTTAATGTTCTTTGTACAAAGTCTGGAAATATTGTGTACTCTGACTGGAAGATTAACAAAGTTAGTGCCATAACTGACCAATGGGAAGCTGTTTGGGATTATTCAAGTCCCAATCTAAAATGTCCATATGGACTGGATAGCGATTCACAAGGAAACATATATGTTTCTGGTTTCCATAGTCATAATATCCATGTGATATCAAATTCTGGTGCACTGATTAGGATTTTTCAAAATCTCAATTGTCCTTTATTTTTGAAAATTGCCAAGGAAAGAAATTTGTGTTGCGTATGTAGCAGTTACAAAACCCTGACTTTTTATGAAATGAAATGACAAGCTTACTTGAGCATGTTGAGATATGGACATGCACCCTTCAGCTATTTTATTAATCAATGCTTTGGGATGTACAACTGACATTATAATGAATCATTTGTACCATGTATTATTATAGTGTTGGTTATATTTTCTGGTTGTGACAAAAAGTTGTAGATAATTTTTTTTTTTTTTGGCTAAATTATGAAATTACGTTTTATAATTTTATTTTGGACTGAGATAAAACAAGCGGAGCATTGCGCTTTATATTTTTCTGTTTGTGATTTCTGGTTTTATTATCATGAAAGAGGAACACAACAGAAAGTATTGTAATGTCAATTTTCTTATGCTTTCTTTACAAGTGAAGGCTTTTTGTACTGAGAAAAAAAAGTTTAAATTATTAATCTTAACTACAGTTGTGGTTGATATCATTACTATATTTTATTTTTTAATGAAAGCTATGAGTATTTTAATAAACAGAATAGTTTAATAGTTTATTTTAAATTCTCTTTATTAAGGACATACGCAACGTAGTTTGAACTTTATTGTCCTTTTCCCTGGAGTTGAAGAGTTCCAATACTTAAAGGAACTGTGTGCTACATTTTAATGTCTATATATGCTGTTGTACACTTCTTCTAAAAGAAGTTTGGATGAACAAAAAATCTAGAATATATGTTTAGTAATTTTTTAATATTTTTCTTTAAATTATACAAAAATTTTCATCAGTTGATATCTTTTCAAAACCCCTGGTAATGTATGCTGATTTTTTGTCTACAAACATCTGATGGCACTATAATCTTAAATCAAGAATATCTTGAAAAATTATCAGTAGGTAAGGTACGTTGCGTATGTCCTTAAATTCAATTTTGTACTCTTTACTTGATAAATGAAAAAAAGTTTCTGATAAATGGGAATTCTTAATTTTAGGAATACATGTATTTAAAAGCCACTATAAAAAAGTTTGTTCATATTCAAAACGTATATGAATATTTTTTTTTACGTTTTTAACATTGAAATAAGTTACTATTTTATTGAAAACAAATGATATTTTGAGACGGTGTGAAAGAATATCATAGTGCTGCAAAATTTTCGATTTTCAGAGTGTTGTAAAGGAAAATATTTCCTGGCTTAATATTAGATAGAAAGAGTATTTAAACCAAAGCCTATGTCATCATGAAAAGTAAAAGGAAAACGAAGGATATGTAAAAGATAAATCAATATTTTGTGGTTGAATATAGTATCTAATTTTTTATCCATGAGGCAGAATTTTTTTTTTTTTTGGATGTATTTACTCGTGCTTTGCACTTTTGAAAACATCAAGAAATTTGTCCTAATCATGAAATGGATTCCACAAATGTTAAATTCGGTAACGAACGAGAATAAGAGGTCGTGCGTTAGAAATTTTGTCTAATGTATCTCATTAATTAGTAATGGAGTCTGAAATGATTTGAAAACTAAGATGATGAAATATCTGTGTCCATTGCATATTTTTTTTTATAAAAGAAACAAAAAGTCCGAATTTGAAAATTTAACCACACCCATTTTTTCCCCCAAAAGTTTGCGCTTAGAGATTAGTTTAGATTAGTTCATACCATTTCAAGGTATGAGAAGATTTTTCCAGTTGGCGGGCAGATTTTTAAAACTGTTTACGGAGATTGAATTAAAATGAGATACCTTGTGTTATAAATAGGCTACGGATTAAAAAAAAATTACAGAAACAAGTACCTGTAGTGTAGTTCGATGTATTAAGTAATCCTAACAACATAACACATTAAAAACAAGCATTCTGAGAGTATTGCATTAGCAATATTAGTTCCCTACCGGCAAGTGTAATCTGGTTCCCGTTAAAAATTAAAAATGCCATAAATCCATCAAAAATCAGTGAAGCGGAACGAAATGCAAATTTGATCTATAACTTATGAAGGTAGTCACATGCCAAAAGTAAGCTCAATATATATCTGCAAGCGTTTAGAAAAAAATTGCAGAAAACCCTGAAAAATTGAAAAGATCGTAATTCCTTCAAAAATCATTGAAGCCGAACGAAATGCAAACTTGATCTGTAACTCATCAAGAAACACTCACATACCAGAAATCAGCTCAATATCTGCACGCGTTTAGAAAAAAAGTGTGGAAAACCAATTGAGACAGACTGACAGACAGACAGAGGGACAGACGGACAGCTAGACAGACAGACGGACGGACAGACTCAGAAGAAACCTATAGTCCCCTCCGGTTTCACCGGAAGGGGACTAAGAAACAAAGCAAAGTAACCCAAATAAATAAATGTAAATGAAATATAAGAAAAATTTGAATAAATACAACAGAACAAAATCACCGATATTTCTTTAACATACGAAAGGGATATTAATTTAATTTTCCTTGTAGTGATCTATTACCAGCTGATTACAGGGATGGTAAATTGGCCAAATCTATTTCAGTATGAATTTGAACAATCATTTCATTCGCACCATGGTTACAATGAATACATCTTTTCAAGTGAAATTTCCCACCGTTGAGTTATTGCGTTGTTCAGTCTGGTTTGGCAATCGATAGTCTGATTTCTGAAAACATTTAAAAAGAAAAAGCAATCCTTAATATATAAATAGCCTTGTCATAATATAACAATCAAATTTGAAAAGACTACAGGAATAAAAACGCCCGCGTTGAATACCAAATTGTGCTTTCTCGGTTTAGGAACTTTCTTTTCTGAAAGTCGACGACGTTGAAAATTAGAGTATTATGACGACAAAGACATTGAAAAAACTTTCGTAAGTAAATTTAACTCTTGCTGGTTCTTTTCTTTGAAAAAACGTAATTTGTAAAATAAGTTAATGATGCTTGAATTCTACATAAAATTTTGCATTCTATGATTAGCTCACCTAAGCTGAAAGCTCAAGTGAGCTTTCCTGATCACCCGTTGTCCTCGTCCGTCCGTCTGTAAACTTTTCACATTTTCAACTTCTCCTCAAGAACCACTGGGCCAATTTTAACCAAACTTGGTACAAAGCATTCTTGGGTGAAGGGGAGTTTAAATTGTTAAAATGAAGGGTCAATCCCCATTCAAGGGGGAGATAATCAAGAAAAGTAAAAAATAGGGTGGGGTCGTTAAAAAAATCTTCTTCTGGGCAAGAAAAGCTGAAACTTATGTGGAAGCATCCTGAGGTAATGTAGATTCTAAATTGTTCAACTCATGACCCCAAGGGGTAGGGCGGGGCCACAATAGGAAATCCAATTTTCACATTGAAATATATAGGAAAAATCTTTAAAAATCTTCTTCTCAAGAACCACTGGGCTAGAAAAGCTGAAACTTATGTGGAAGCATTGTAGGGTAGTCAAATTCTATATTGTACAAATCATGAACCCCGGGGGTAGGGTTGGGCCACAACAGGGAATCTAAGTTTTACATTGAAATATATAGGAAAAAATCTTCTCAAGAACTATTTGGCGAGAAAAGCTGAAACTTATGTGGAAGCATCATGAAGTAGTAGAGATCCTAATTTGTTTAAATCTTGCCGCCTCCCCTGGGGGAGGGTGGAGCCACAATAGGGAATCTAAGTTTTACATTGAAATATTTAGGAAAAATCTTCAAGAACAACTGGGTCAGAAAAGCTGAAACTTATGTGGAAGCATTCTGTGGTAGTGTATAATCTTAATTGTTCGAATCATGACCCCCAAGGGCAGGGCGGGGATACAATAGGGAATCCAATTTTTACATTACAATATATGGGAAAAATCTTCTTCTCAAGAACCACTGGGCCAGAAAAGCTGAAACTTTTGTGGAAGCATCCTGGGGTAGTGTAGATTCTAAATTGTTCAAATTTTGCTCCTGGGGTAGGGTGGGGCCACATTAGGAAATCTAAGTTTTACATTGAAATATGTAGGAAAAATCTTCTCAAGATTTACTGATTGATTGTTTGTTGTTTAACGTCCCTCTCGAGAATTTTTCACTCATATGGAGATGCCATCACTTGCCGGTGGAGGACTACAAATTCTGACCACTCAGGGCCATTGAGCAGTGAGGGATCTTTTTCGTGCCAGCATCTACTGCGACACGGGACGTCGGTTTATAGGGTCTCATCCGAAGGACCGGTCTCCACGTCCCGCATTGGGATTCGAACCCGCGACGTAAGGATTAACTCCATACTCCGCGAGTCTAGAGCAGACGCTTTAACCACTGCGCCACGCGGGCGACTTCTTCTTAAGAACAACTTGGCCAGAAAAGCTGAAACTTTTGTGGAAGCATTCTGAGGTAGTGTAGATTTTTAATTATTCAAATCATGACGCCCGGGGGTAGGGCAGGCCACAATAGGTATCACAAGGTGGGGAAGTCAGGTGAAAAACAGCAGGGCCAAAGTTAATCAGGTGAGCGTTGTGGCCCATGGGTCTCTTGTTTTATAATTAGGCTCGGCAGTAATGGTGAAACTGGAGAAAGAAAGAAATCTGATGACAGAAATTTCCAAGGCCAAGACATCGTGCGCTGTTATAAATGTGACGAAGAGGTGCGTTTCTTATGTATACCTTGCAAAACAAAAGTTTGCAAAGCATGCGTTGGTGATCACTTGGAAACTAAAGGTTCTCCACGATTTCATAACTTTGCTTTTTACGGTGTAGATGATAGAGAAATCTCGTCTCAACCGAACGTTGAGGGAATTGTAGACAATGACGAGAATTTAAAAGATACATGGAGCATTGCTCTACTTCCAGATCTGGCAGAATCCCAGCGAATCATTGTTTGCAATGACCAGTCCATCGTGCTCTATCAAAAGCAGAGAGATGGCGACTGGTCTAATAAGGAGTTAAAGAGAATCAACGGAAATTCTTTTATCAGATGTATTGCTACTTTTAATTCTCGCATTCTTTACTCGGCAACGAATTGCAAAAAAGTATATGAAACAGATGAACAATTTTCAACTGAGGCTATCAGACCATATTTTACATCTGAAGCTGATGGGTGGACTCCTAGAGGTATAGCATTTTCCTTCCTTAATCCAGGCCATGTTTGGATAGGTTTGTATCACGCACAGACGAAAAAAGGGAAGGTTATCAAAGTTCAATCAGAGGGCAAGTTTGTAGGATATCTGGGTGATGAGGGAGACAGAAAGCCATATACAAATCCCCGATTCCTTGCTGAAAACAGAAACGGAGATATCTGCATAGCCGATGGAGTATCAAAGAAAGTATTTGCGTTATCACCAAAAGGAAATGTTTGTTTTTCGTATAAACCTTCCGGAATTATATCTGGATACGGAGCTCGAACTGTTGCAACAGATAAAAAGTGTAACATTCTTGTTGCATATCCCAATGATGGCATACATGTGTTAAATAGCATTGGAAATTGTCTTCTTATTTTGAAAGAGGTGGCATATCCTACAGCTTGTTGTGTCTCTTTGAAAGATTCTCTGTTTGTGTGTTCCAAAGATGGAGACATTAAAGAGATAACATACCTTATGCCACCGTCTCCAACCAACCAGTAACTAGACAACCGACATAATATGTTTTGTCCAAAGATTGACTGACACTTATTCAAGAATGTTAAGATGGATGATGCTATTTATATTAAGATTTCACGTTCTTGTTTAAAAGAAAGATTCCTTATCTGACAGGAATAATTTATCTTAAAAATGTCCGTAGCTGAAGTCAAGCATATTCAGAAACAAAAGGAAGGATGTGTGAATGTTATATACCGGTATATTACAGCAAAATGAAGTGAATTTGATTTCAATGAGGCTACTATCATTAGCAGCAAAAATATGGGAAATATGATTGATTTTCAGCACAAAAAGGATATTATTCAATGTGGCATCAAATGTGAAAATTGATCAAAACTTAAGGAAAAAATGTCCTTTACATTAAAATTGGAACCTATTGGTAACAAGATTTTTAAGGAAACCTTATTTAGACAGATAATAGTAATGAAATAAAGTAATACCTATTTTATATTCAATTGAACTTCTATACATTTATTTCGTGTAGCTTAAATCTTGATTCGATATTTCAACGAAGTAATTTATTTATCATAAGCAGCTCAAGTCACAATTATTCAAGACAAAAAAAAAAAAAAAACAAAAAAAAAAAACAAAAAAAAAAAAAAAACTGTTCTTATGTAATATCTATTTTAGTATCCCTATTGTTAAATGGTTTCCCTTTCACAACTATATTTACCGCAAATAATAAGGGAAAAACCATAATAGACTTTTTTAAATTTAGCACATTTGTAAAATCTCTTTAAATTCATTGTTAGTTATATCTGTGGAACGGTGAAGATTTGCAGTTTGTATTCTGATTACAAATTCAATAAAAGTTGTGATGTCATGCGTGTTTCGCAAGACATTATTAACAGTAAGTGTACTTTGTAAAGACAACCTTATATATTACAGACTAACAGAGACATTAATTATTACTCTCTCTCTCTCTCTCTCTCTCTCTCTCTCTCTCTCTCTCTCTCTCTCTCTCTCTCTCTCTGTGTGTGTGTGTGTGTGTGTCACATAAGTATTTTTTCATCTAAATAAAACTCCCATAAATATGTACTTTAGATTTGTGATAATTTATTTGCACTCCGCATTTTGCATACCGCCTGGTAGCAGGCAAAAATAAGCTTTCGTCTACGATATATTCCCATTACTTCATTTTACAAAATATACTTTTTAGATGTATTCTACTGAGATAAATTATATTGATTTTTGCAGTTTAATTCAATTCGTTATATGATACAAAGTGCGAAAAAGAAAATACAAGTAAATGAAAGAAAAAAAAAACCGTTGACAATATGTAGGGGAAACAGACTTCTTGTAATTTTTTATGGACGTAAGTGAAAAAATCATATCACGAAAAAACTTAGAATAAAAACATTTCTATTGTGAAAGTCTGTATTATCGCTAATAATACACAATTAAGGGTTGTTTGACAGTTCTATGTAACACGGAATAATCATACTGTAAATAATAATAATCATAATCTCCTTAAACCACAAATCAAATAATTCTATGAAGATCCACGTACTAGTCTGCACCAACGTAAGTTAAAACTCATAGTGAAGATTTTGATGACACAAGTTTGACGCTACAAGATGACTAAAATCAATTTGCAAGAATATATTCAAAGTTTTTGGAAAACCATTTACTAGATGGATAGAATAATATAATTGGTAATATAATAGGTAGTGCGATTTTTAAAGATGCATCGGACACAGCCCGATCATAATTAAAAATTATATATTAATTTTCATTTATTTGTAATAACATTTACAGATAATAGTTAAGAAATGATATTAGACATTCCTTCTATAGACAAAACTAGTTTTCTTTTTAACACTCTTAAAATAATGCAATGTATTATTTTTGGACGGGTTTTTTCCGGTTTTGCACAGTTTAATAATTAGTATAGAGAAATAGATGTAAATGTGCTAATTTTAACAGACGAACTATATAATCCTTGATTTAAAAAAAACACACAAACCAAAAACAAAACTCAGGTTATCCTAGTTGTCATTTTTAGTGACTTATACTTTTAACCATTATACACACAAATAATGTAATTCTGTAGAGGTACATATCGACAAAAACAATTTTTAACTGAAAAAAAAAACTATGGTTCGTCCTAGTCTTAAAAAAATGAATAAGAATTCAATTTAAATATTTTTTTATATAAAACAAAACCTTTTAAATTGTGGGGAGAATTCTTTCTACGTGAAGCTAAGTGCCAATTTAATCTTGATATTTTCCTGTATTTTTTAAACGACCCGTTTTGAAATTATAGCGGAAAATCACCAAGCCACCCCTCCCTTTCTTCCTAAGTCACATTTCTCACAGCGTTTTTCAAACTTGGAACGAGGAAACCAATGCTATGACTCTACAAATACACAAAAAAAAATCCAAGCTGGAAAATATATATCTTGCTTTAATTTTATTTTTATTTACATTTTATGACAAACTCAAAACTTTACTGTGCATTTGAATATAGATGTAGATGTAAAAACAACTTCTGAAAACTTTAAAACTTTCCCTTCTTTTCTTCTGTGCAACACAGGTCATTCTAGCTTGATGAAATATCGCTTACACCAGCAGATATATTCAGTCTATTGAATCTCTGAGCTACTCCATGCTATGTTCATATATTCTGGAATAAATATTGACTACTTGTTTGTTTTGTATTCAGTAAAGCTCATTTTCTAAGGAGTTTTATTTTTATTTCCACGTGTTTAGTTTGTTGTCCATGCATTCAGTTTCATACCTGTATATGAATTCGACTTGTTATTATCCATGTACATTTCAAAATAATATGGATAAGAGTATGAATTCATTTAACTTAGATCTACATATTTCATGATCAGCTATTGAATATATACATGTATGTAATTTGAAAGTGTTTGAAGCAAGGGGTCTTAAGTTATTGCCTTTTTCAAATATAGGAAGATTATGAAAAGTAAATGAAAAAGAAATTAAAAAAAACTATTTTCATAAATTTTAGAACTGTAGATAGAATATTCTGCAGTGCAGTGTTATACATTTCGGCACTTCAAGCTGTTCAAGTCTTCAGCAATTATGGCTGATAAAGATAAAATGTGGACAGCGACAACTGCAGCAAGTCAGTATGAAGGCCAGAAGTCAGCACGCATTCACTATTACCAGTAAACTGACAATGCTGCTCTTCTCATTTGAGAGCTTGCTCAATCCAGATGGCAGAAGATTCATGGGAAAAAGGAATGCAATCTAACACCTGTGCTTCATTCAAATAAAGTGGAGGTTATGAGAGGTAAACATACATGAATTTGTATAATTTTATTTTCCTCCATATTTCATGAAGCTTGTAGAAGTCTGAAACAACAGTGCCTATCACAGTGTAACAACAATAGTTGATACACTGTGATAGGCAGATTATATTGTAACCATTGATGCAAAACCCATCTAATCATTAAGGCGGAATACGCCTAGCAAGTAAGGCGGAATACGTCTTGCAAGTAAGGTGAAATACGCCTTGCAAGTAAGGCGGAATACACCTTGCAGGTAAGGCGGAATATTCCTCGCAAGTAATGCGTTTTAGAAAAGGCGGAATCCGTCTTAACTCATTTAAATATTTTGGACCATATTCCGCCCTGATTCCACCCTGACTCCGCCTAACAGTCTGATTAAGTTCTCTATAGATGAAATATGGATTCCGTCTATTGATTTCTTAGGTCAGGGCGTAAATTTTCGTACAGGTGACTACCTACATGTATTTTAATAAATGCAAGTACGTTGTTTTCCTTCCAAATGGATCAATGCCTCATTATAATAAATATGCTAAGTTGGGCCAAAATTGGACCAACATTACATGCCCAACACACATTCGCCATGTTTCATTTCAACATTATTAGGTTGCCCCCATGTTGGGCCAACATTACATCCCAATACACACTGGCTTTGTTTTATGCCCTTATTTAGTCGGTTGGACCTACATTGGGCCAGCATCAGATGCCCAACATAAAGTGGTCATGTTTCATGCCAACATATACTACATTGGAGTAACGTTTGCCCAACATCGCATACCCAACAACGATGGACCAGCCAACATATCATCAGTTGGTCCAATGTTGGGCCAACATTTACTGCCCAACGCCAACACTATACCAATTTACCAACCAACAACCAACGTTGGGCCAATGTAGTCTTGCTATCTGGGTTTACGTGCAATATATTTTATGCGCGTTTATTTGTATGTTTTACCGTGAAAAATCAGTAGAGGTACATGTATAATATGATCTGAAGCAAGACTAGCAAATGTACTCTGTTATACCCTCATAAATATCTTTCTATATATTTATTACCAATGAAAAGTCCAACAAAGTAAATGTTTTTTGCATCAGTCTAACAACGGTCTGTCAGTCAAACATAAGAATTGTTAGACCGCATCGCCACTGCTTCTTTACAGTAATTAGTCGTCGTTCAATATCGGCGACGCCAAAATAAGTTTAGAGCTGCAAGACTTATCGTATTCTAATTGAATGATGACACCACGGGAAAACTGTGGTTTTTTAAAAAGCCAATTACTTAGAAAGTAATTGTTACATATTGATGAAATCTGTTAATAGGTTTTCAATTTGTGTTTTATCTTAAGTGAAGGGTATAACAAAACAGTTATAGACTGGGATTCGGGTAAAATTTGATTTCTTGGACCTTGGGACCTCGGGCAGTATTTTCACCTTCAGGTCAACCAAGACTCTAAATTGCCCCCATACCCAGTTAATAACTCAGAAATATTTGAGATTTAAAAAGAATGAAATCATGACGAACACAAGCTTCCATACACCTTGTCCTTGCAGCGCCCTCTGTTTCAAGTTAGTTAATACTAACAGTTCTAGAGATAAAGAGGATGGCCACTGCTTTCATCGACAGCTCGTCATTTGAGGACATCACAATGTGCTCGATTTGCTTTGAGAAATTTAAAACACCCTGATATCTACCCTGTTCTCATTCTTTTTGTCACGACTGTTTATCGT